GATGTTTGGGTATTTTCCCAAGCTTTCGGAGTGCTTGGTTCTCGGCCCATACACTCCTATTCCAGTTCCTTCTATGGTTTTGGAACCGTCCGTGTACCACTGAATAGCACGTCTTTCGGTTGCAAGCGCGATGGATTCTTGGCTCCATTCTTTCTTGCAGCCCAGCTCTGTGGTTTTGAAGTTTTTCACAAATCGGTACTTCTTTTGCATTTCATCCTGGGGCATGTCCCAGGTATCTTTAGTCCTGAAGCAAGTAGACTTTCGTCTGATTACTCCGCTCCTGATCATTCTATATCGTGTCCTTTTTGCCACATTCTCTATCATCAAATGTAGAGGGGTGAGGTTTAAGATCACCTCCATTGCGGCCGTAGGACAGGTTCTCATTGCACCAGTAATGCAAACACAGGCTAGTCTTTGTACTTTTGAGATATTAGCTCTCGTAGTAACTAAACTAGTTCTGTTACTCCAGGCTATAGCCCCGTAAGTGATGATTGGTCTCACTATTGCAGTATAGGTACATCCATCGCAGTATGTTTGGGTTATACAATTTGTATAAATGGAACGATATTTTCAGAAGTGGTGTAGCTCAGTGCTACACTTTCGATGCAAAGGAAAAGACCTTTTTTAACCTTTTAACTCTTTCAATGCTACCTGTCACAGTCGCAAAAATGCAAATGTGTTTTTATTTGCTGAAAAAACTAAACTAAAAATACTATTGAATGAACAAATAAGTATGTCTCATATAACCCTATTTTTTTATTTTGGTTTTATTTCAGAAAATTAACACAGATCACAGATTCTATAATATGAAGCTGTTCCAATATTACTGCTGGCTAGTCTGTAACTGTCATACGCAACAGGCAACTGCCACAGTAACAGCACCCTGTGGTAACAGTAATTAATATTAATAATGCCATGCTTAATAATAGGTTGTTTTTAGTCCCACGCAATCTGCGACTTTAACAGCAAGTTAAAATAAATTGAATCTCCGTCCACCGAAACAACTGTTTCGTGATCTGATGCATAACCATGTTCCAAGTGAAAACCTGTTTCAAAAATAACAGATACTGATTCAGCGACCAGTGTTGCCTGTCTAGTACAATTGTACTAGATCTAGTACATTATTTAAGAATTTAGTACTCTAGTACACCCGAGACAAAATCTAGTACTTTTTCTTTTTTGAGCCTCGATTTGGGCGGAAAAAAATATAAATATATTGTTGGGTTCCTTGTTCGTGTTCGTTTTCGATAAAAGCCTTTTTTTGCTCTTCAATGAACCAAACCATCACAATTCGAGAAATGGGGTACAATTCATAGAATCTGGTATATTTTTATTGGAATCTAGTACATTTCTCAGACAAATCTGGTACATAACAAAAATATATTCTGGCAACACTGTCAGCGATGCGACCCTACTGTCAAAGTGAAAGTGTCATAACCTCATTTATAAATGTTTATAATTTTTAATTTCCTATTTCAATTTATTGAAATTTAAATTTGTAAGTCAGATCCTTCCTTCATGGTCAGAACATCGTATTTGTGGATATGTAAAAAAAGAAATATAATATGTTCAATAAAATAAGAAAAATGTACTTAAAAGGGGTCAAATGAATGGTATCAGGTGTGAAAGCCTACAGGAAATGGAAAACCGTAAAAGGAAAAGGTAAGCAAACAGAATTTTCACTTATTTCTGCTAAACGACCTTGGAATCGCGATAATTATCTAATTTTGACAGTGAACTAGAGGAATATGGCGAGAAGTGTTTCCGGTCTACCAGAGACGTACTGTCATAAAGGGGCGTAGAAAAGAGAATAATAAATTCTTATTTACATATTGGGGTCTATTCTATAACAATTCCTTTATATTTAACGGCCTTTAAAAATATTGGCGGCCTTTAAAAACATTTTCGTATTCGTTAATTTACTTCTGTCATTATTTAAACAGATTTCTTTAAGATAGTCCTCTAATGTATTTTAAAGATCCGTTTAAATAATGACAGAAGTAAAGAAGAAAATATTTTTAAAGGCCGTTAAATATAAAGGAATTGTTACAGAATAGACCCCATTATCTGAATTTACCAATTTCTCTCATTTTAATGAATAGCTGTTTTCTTGCGAGAAGTTTGCATTTATTTTTATTAACCTTCATAATGTGAATAAATTTTTCTTTAAAATTGTATGTTGGGTGGGATAAATATAGGAAAATATTTTTGGAATAAATTATAGAGGGATTTCATTTGAAAAATCAAAGCAATAATGTATTTAAAAAAATGACTTTTTACGTCTTTATTATGACAATATTTTTAATAATTTACATTTTACAAATTATTAAGGTTTGAAAAATAAATATGTTTTGTAGATATGCGTTAAATTAAATATCCTATACTTATATTTAAGTCACACACTGCTGTGATATTTCTTTCTTAGATGTTTTTGTTGGAGTAGGTACATATAATATAAAACTTCCTAATATCTAAGAGAATATCTGATCATTTTATTACATAATATTATTAGTAATATTTTTTGCAGGACTTTAATTTTGTATAAGCAGGTGAAACATCTTTCCATGAAAGGATCATATACCGTAATAACGATGTACATTCAATGTACATTCAAATATGATCGTAGGAATTTAAATTTTGGTAAAAGGCAACGTATTATTTATTCTAGTTAATATGAGTTAATATGAGAGTTAATTTGTACTCCAAGGTATTTGATATAATTTGTAATACATATGAAAATACTGAACGTATTATGTTTCTAAAGGAAGAGGGCATCTTTTTGTAACTGCATAATGAAACAACATAAGTTTTATAAAAGTTTTTATAATTAAACCATTCGGCTATTAATATTAATAATTTTAATCATTTTACAGGATAACTGGTCGTCTGAAAAACTTACAATATTTCCATCTGTATTTAAATTACAAATTATTTAAAATAAAATTAAACATAGGACCTAAGACAGTATCTTGAGGCATGCGATATGCTACTTATTTCCTTACCTAAGATATCATTAATTCTATTTGTGTTCGTTTCTGTTAATAACTTTGTAATAAATTATATGGAATGCCTCACATTCATACACGAAAAAACCGGTACATGATATAGTTAGTAAAGAATTTATTTACTTTAACCGGTCCACTTTTATTCTTGGAACAGCTGTTGGTAGAAGTCTTATTCTTAGTTTTGAGGTTCGATCAAAACAATCTGCATTAAAATGCCGACACAAAAAATTAATATATTTTGACTCGCAATTCGTTTGCTGCATAAAAATATGACAAAGTTGTTGGTTTTGACTCGTTAGTTATTCGACATAAATTTGAAATTTTTAGGTCGACCTTCTATTTAAAAGTACGTAAACTATTGATGTAATGTTGGTTGCGGTAATATGGTTAAAATTACGTTAAAATTAAATAATTTTCTGCTGTAAAGAACTTGTAAATAAAAGAAAAAAATTAAATATTTTTTGTGTGGAATGGGAATATATTCTAGTTTTTATAGCTATTTTTGATGTGTTTAAACATGTAAAATTTTCACAATTTCGTTCTTTCTTTGTTCACTTTTCAATATATTCAGGAAATAGTTTAATGCTATGCATACTCTTCACAGTTTAACAGACCCAATCCTCATTATTTATTAGATTTTTTTCATTCGCATATAGAGCTTGATTTTTACTAAACATTTCATGTTGATGTCGCTTTTGGTTTCATTTCTATTTTTTTATTTCAACTCCCTTTTGTTCACGATTTTTTTTTAATTAATATGATTTGTTCTATACAGCTTGATGTTTGCTAAAAATTTCATGTTGAGATCGCTTTTGTTTTTCGTTTTTAATTTAGGATTTTTTTTTTAATATCAACCCATCTTAACCCCCTATTTTGTTCAGATTTTTTTTCAAAATCAATAGGGTTTCTCCCCTTATAGAGCCTGTTTTTTACTTAAAATTTTCATTTTTCCTTTATGAATTATCGTACAGACAAAAAACGTGGCTTCGGACGAAGTAAATCTCTAATACATTTCACAGACTAATGTGTGAAGGGTATAATAACGGAGTTCCACAGTAGATCTGAAAAGATCGAAAGATAATGTGCATCTCATTTTATATCTAATCTAATCTTTCATTTCATAAAAACAACTAACTCTAAAAATTAAGCAATGTTACAGTTTATGATCGAAAACGTCTCATTACTTGTATTTATTTACGCAGAAGCAGATTTGTAATCCACGTGACGTCATATCGTTTGACAAGGATAGAGCTAACATGAGCAAAACATATCGTTGTAAGTGTATCGTACTTTTCTTTAGTTTTATACAGTGAGAATCTTAAGTCTTACCCCCCCTAACTAACTCGTTACTGGAGTCTTGTTAGGAAAATCGCCGAGACAGGTCGATTTTTGTTTTCTACAATGTACATTTTTGTATGATTAGTTTACCCTTAATTTCATCCCTTACTCGAGGGGAACAACCCTTTCGAAAAATTTAAATGGCATGGGGTGGTGAGTGATAGCTCATTTGAAAGGGGGGGAAGACTTAAGATTCTCACTGTATATCTATCTTCTCTTTATTTGCCGTAGTATTAGTTTAGTATTGTTTCATTAATATTTTATATTCATGCATCTTATTTTCGAAACAAAATATATAATTTTTTTTATATTAAAACCCTAACATATTATTATTACGAGTACACTATCCCTATATTGGAAATATATAATATGATTCTATTATGGGATACTAAGCTTCTGTGTAGCTTGCTTCTTTTTTATTTTAATTTGTTATTCTTATCAAAATGTTTAGAAACAAATTAAAGAAATTTAATATATTGAAAAATCCATTTAAATCCAAGTAAATATTTTCTTTACATTATTTGGAAAAATTACCCCATATTAAGCAATTTTCATCTAATGATCGAAAGTTAAAACTAAAAATCAATACCATAAGTACGAGAAATTAGCCACCAATTTTGAAAAATAAAACTCAAAAATAAGATTTTTTATCATAGTTTACTATATCTATTTACATATGGGTTATTTCAGATAAAAATTCTTCAGTTTGAGACGGTGCTAAAGTACTTCTCAACTTTTTCCAAAACACCTTTTGTTTCTTCTCGTCTGCATTCCACTCCAAGTAAATCCTTGTTTTTAACAAATACCTCAACATGGGCGTCATATGCCTTTTATTCACCGGCCCTAATTTCACAAGAACCAGTGCATCATCGACATATTCACCATCCTCCTTCTCGAAAAACAGTCTATGATGCTCAGCAATGCTACTTTCCCATCTACACCACTGAGATTTCGCATAATTGTCGCTTATAACTAAAACAGTTTTTCTACTTTTGGCTATACATTTTAGAACGCAATCGGAAATGAATTTCCCTGCGTGGAAATCTCTTTCATAAACGCAAAGTTTTAGAAAAGGTTCGTGGTTTTCCAACATAGCTACTAATCTGACAACGAAATTTCGATCTTCAGCGCTATAAGAGACGAAGGCATCATATTCGAAATTACATTTGGGATTATCGGGTTTTTTCTCGATTTTTCTGTTCCTGCTAAGATGAAGTCTAGCCAGAAACATCCAATATTTCAAATGCCATCTGTAGTAGAATAATAACATAGCTAAAGTTATAAATAATAATACTAATAATATTAGTGGTAACAATATGATTATACGTTGATCAATATCACAGGAAATAAAACCGTTTTCAACGTGTTTAAAGTAATCTACAGCATTGTAAACTACGTGGTTCGAATACATGTACGGTGTCAGACAAGTGCTGTCAGCTGATTTCAATATTTTAACAATTTTATCTTCATCGTGTTCATCTGCGTATTCTTTAAAATATTGATAACTCAAACAGTCACAATTTAAAGAATTGTACGCTAAGGTGAGTCTGGTTAGGTTTGAAAAATCTTCCAACATGGAAGGAGTGAAATAAGTCAGCTTATTGTGATCAAGCAACAGGATTCTTAAGTGAAAGTTTTCTGTAAATATCCTTTCTTGCCAACTTTTAAATAAATTGTAAGATAGATCCAAATATTCCAGCTGTGTTGAGTAAAAAAACTGCTTTGGGTCCAAACTTGTTATACGATTCCCTTCTAAGCCTAAAGTTTTTAAAGATTTTAATTTCCAAAATGGATTTCCCTTTTTAGATAAATACTCGATCTTATTTTCACCTAATAAAAGTACTTCCAATTTCTCCAAACCATCAAAAATATCTTCTGACAACCCAGATGGGTAATTAAGAAAGAAATAATTATTTTCCAAATTTAGAAAAGTCAAATTCCTGACGTAAGTAAAAGTTTTACTTTCGATATGATAAATTGTGCATTTACTGAGAAATAGTTCTTTCAAATTAATTAAACCTTCGAAACTGCCGCGAAATAGATGTACTAAATTATTTGAATTCAAATTCAAATGTTCCAAATTTGTCATGTTGGAAAATACGCCTTTATTCATTTCGAAATACGATGCTTTAGTGTTGGTACCGGAATTTTGCTGAAAATCCAACTTTTTTAACTGTTTAAGCAACGCCCCTTTGGGCAAAGAAGAAAAAACATTCTCAGATAAAATTAAAGATTCCAAATTTGTTAGTTTAACAAAAGCATCATCGGCTATGTCGGAAATTAACCCTTCTTTCAAATCCAAGGTTCTTAAATTTGGCATTGCTGGAAAAGCGCCTGATGGAATGATTTCAAATTGGTTTTTTGCCAGATTCAAATGGGAAATATTGGAAACTGATATCACTTCTAACAGTTTTTTTGGTAAATTACCTCTAAAACCAGCCGAGTACAAATTCAACAGTTTCAGAGGGATTTTATTGTTAACCACTTTTTTCAAAACTCTACTTATCGTCGATGCATTGAATAGATTTTCCCCTATACGTAAACCTTGTAAATTATTCAAAGGAATCAGACAATTCGGGTGCAGATACTCCAGGCGACACAATATCAAATCCAGCTCTTCCAAAGACGAGTCTGCCATCGGTGCGAAATCGTTTTCGAAAATATTTACAAACTTGTTTTCATTCAATGACAATTTTAATAGTTTTGGTAAAGTTATCGGTGTTAACGACAGGGTGATGTCGTACAGGTTAGTAAATCCATTTTTTGTCAGAAAAAGCTGTTTCAAATTGTCCAATCCAACAAAAGTATCTTCATGTAGAGTCTTCAAATTAGGATTGAAGCTGATTGATAAATTTTCCAGCTTGGTAAAATTTTCGAACACTCCTGGCGATATACGAGTCATATTATAATTCCCTTCTATTTTTAAATCTATTAAAAAATTCAATTCATCTAGATCTCCTTGCTGGATTTCTGGTATATGCGTATTTACAATACTCAACACTTTGGTGGAAATTTTTATATTTATAGGTAATTTATCACATTTGGATCTTCCGAAGCATAACGTATGCAGATTGGGAACCTCTCTACAGATGCAGCCACTATCGTCTTCTCCCAAGATTATGGGAGCTGGATGGAGAACGTCGTCGTTATATTTTGGTGGATCATAGTAGTCATCGTCGGGATTGAATTGGTGCGAAAAGTTTGCTATCAGGCAGAGACACACAGCTGTTATTATCGACGGTATCAGCATAATGTTGAGTCACATTACTCAAGGAGTCCATTGCCTGTAACAAAAAATAATAATATATTATTCATATTTCTATTTATTACAGACTTAGTAAATATGATAAAGAAGAAAGTGACACTTTTGAATAGGTGACTATTCTACCAAACAAGTAATATGACTATACAGGTTTGTACGAACATATCGTTGTCCCAGTTTAAAATTGTAACATCTCAAAAATTTTAGAGTTTGAGATAAGAATGTATTCTTAACAAGAAGAGCAAAACCTGTCAGATTAAAACAAGAAAACCGACAATTCCGAAGCTGAAGCGGATGATTAAAACGCACCTATTAAAAATATTGCGCCAAGATGTAGGCAACATGTAATAAGGGTTCAAAATGGCGAGTTTTCTATCTCCTTTTAAAAGGCACTCAGAAAGCTGCGCAGTGCGACCAATCTCCGTATAGTAAAAGAAAATCAAAGTATGTGGTGTCAGTAAATATTATTTTTGGAGTCACAGTTTATTGCTAAAGAATCAGTTAGCTCACTCGGACCAGTTGAAAGTTCCAAAATAACATCCACTCCAGGGATACAAATTCAGGATACGCAGAAGACTGCTGTTTTATTATAGGCGGTTGTCATATATTGTATTATCCGAGTTGCACAGTGTATAAAATGAAACATTGAGATCAAAAGTGCCGACGCAGAGTGAGCGATCTGATTCTTTAGCTATAAACTGTGGCATAGGAATCAAAATGGCCGCGCCCTATGTTGGGCGTGTCGGACCTCTCTCTTGCATCGTATAGTGATCAAAGTATGTGATTCATATTTTGAATGATCTAGCTGAAGCGGAAGAAAATGCCAATCGACCAATTAGAATTTTTTTAAGAAAAGAGGATCCTTTTGACTTTAGTGACCGAATATTCTTAAAAAATATTCGTCTAACTAAACCTTTGGCACGGGATTTAATAGAAAATAATAGAAAATATAATCTGTTATTATAATTATCAAAAAATAATAACAAATTGAAGTAAAGTGCCTTCTAAAATAGTTCTAACGCACAACTTAAATTTGGCAGCGGTGCTCGATGAACCTATGAGATGTGAATGATTCAAGAATACCGAATACGATGACCGAGAGAACAAATTGGTGATAGGACACTTCACATCCCACAGTGGAATGTTCAGATCGTTCAACTTGGAGAATAGGGCCCCTGGACGATACCAATGAACTGGAGTGGGGTAGAAAGCTAATGTGCATATTGTATCAATTGAACAAGATGCGACTCTATGGGCGCAGCCATTTTTATTTCTCATCTCACTCGGGAGTATTTATAATAACCATTTTCTGTTTCACATTGTTATTGTTCAATCCACAGGCTGGTGGATCAGACAATAACAAAGAGAAATAGAAAATGGTCGCTATAAATACTCCCGAGTGAGACGAAAAATAACCTGTCTTCGCCCATAGAGTCGCATCTCAAGTCTATTGACAAGCATTCTACCCCACTCCAGTTCATTGGACGATACGCGACCACCAGCGCTCCCTGTGGTCAGATATACAAGATCTGATCGTGACTATGAAGACATATGCGTGACAGATGACTGGTCAGCAGCAAATTGTGAGGTTATTTTATTGTAATTGTGATGTTATTCTTCATTAATACTCGTTGCCTGTGTTGATATTTTAATTTTATACTCCTTAAAATGGATGTGGTTGAAATAAAGTGTTCGTGTTGCGATAAAAAGTTTTCTCAATATAAAACTATCTTTAAAAATGATATGGAACATCAACGAAATGTTGTTTATTCTTTAAGGAGTGACCACTGCTATTTATAGTAAAAATATATAATTGTAAGGTTTATCCAAGTATTTAATAAAAAGGTTTTTTTTTAATAAGTTTATAAATGTTTTTTGTGGTATAGATAGTACGATTGTAAATAGTTTATCGATAGTTAAGATAATACTGAACAAAAAATTTTTAAATTTAATAGTTTATCACTAAAAATATTTTCAAAAATCTATAAATAAGACATATTATTGAGTATAAATGTTCTAAAGTTTTATAAGACTGCGGTAAATAGATTTGTTAGTCTGATGCTATCCATTCTTAAAAACAAAGCATTTGCTTATTTCAAAGTTCTTATTTTAAAATGCTAATTACTCTTAAGAACATAATTTTTTAACAATATAGTCCTTTTTTTACAATGACATGTTAATAATGTATAGGAAGTTAAATATGTAATACACACAATTTTCCAAACTCCAGCGATAAGTTGCTAAGTAATGTCATTAGTATCTCCCAAATATAATCGACTTTTTGCTTAAAAACTACTGAATAAATACATTTAACACACGCCAAAAAATATAAGTTTTATAAAAAAAAATGTTGCCCATTTTCGTGGTTGAATGAAAACAATTCAAATTGTCCATCAGGAGCGCTACAGTCGCATGTCGTCCTGGGTTGACCGCTTCGTTTCCTTAGAAGAGGAAGAGGACACCGTGTTGTCTACGAACCGTGCACGATTCGTATCTTTGTTGGTCACGGCATACTGTAATTAGATATTATTTGTTTTATCATATACATTAGGAATTTAAAGGCTGTCTAAATATCTTTATTCTTTTTTAAGAAGGTGTAAAATGTTTGACACAATTTATAACCGAGTATAACGTAAATTATTCTCGTAACATAAACGTTCTAAATTTGATGTTCATTTAGTAAAATTGGCAGAAAATTCGCATTTAAAATACAAGCAATAACAAAACAGTAGAAAGCATTGTTATTTATTTTAGTAACGCACAAAATTTATTTTTCGACCTATCATTATTTGGTGTCTGACAAGTAATTTTGATATTTTTTTATTTTTTTTGGACTGAACTAGGGGTTTAAATTTCCATATTATTGATAGTCTATTTTTTTATTTTCAGAAAAAGAAAATTATTTAAACAATTATTTTCTAATACAGAGATGGATAGAAAGAAAATGAGTTTATTGAATGGTAAGGTCTCCATTAAAATATGCAATTTTATGACCTAAAATGAGACAAATTGAAGAACATTGTTTCAAAGATTGCATTTCATTCAGTCAAACATTTCTGAATTTGTCCTCAATCAATATTTAACAACTACTTTACATATGAATATCTTATCAGAGTGCAATTATTATTATTATTGTTGTTTTTTGAGTGAAACACGGCTTGTTTAATTAATCTAGGGCAACTGGTTTCAAATAGTAAATACCTGTATACTTTCTACTTATTTCAACATATAAGAATACATTATGTTCTAAAGGAGGAATTCCCTGTTAGTCACTAATTTGGTGGTCTATTGGACTAGTTTCAGTTTCATATAAAATATCACACTTTTTTGTGCAGTATTTGGTTAAATTATAATAACTTTATTATTACCTTCAAAACAACTTTACCTATTAATAGAACTTAATGTTACCGCTTTTTTGGTTTTAATATTTTCTCGCATTCTATTTTATTAGAGGCAGGTAGTATTATGAATCAATGGAACAAAAGTTAAGGAAAAAATCATACTGACTTTATTAAAATAGCTCTAAAACGTACCATCAAAAGTGCTTTTTTTTGCAAGAAACATTGATCGATTTACTTACCAAAGTTTAATATCTGTAAAACCAAACATAGATTACTATTTTTATAAGCATTATTTTAATCAAAAAGTAAATGATAAGTATAAATATGCTATTTATTATCTTTGTTTACTAATTGCAATTATTATAAAAAGTATACGTTACAGCGGAGTAACCTCTAAGGCTGGTAATAGTGCTGCCCTACCCCTAAGATTTTTGTCTTGATTTCAGTCCAAAATAATTTTAATTAAAACTTAAATAGGAACATTTATTTTAAAAATTTAATTACAAAAAATAAAATTTTCTTATTTAAATAAGTTATTACTGATAAAAATCATATAGGTACATATTCGAAAAAACTTAATTCATAGTTTTATCCGAGAATACCGATCAAGGAGAAGCGACAGTAGCTGTCGGTGCCTTTGATATCGGATGTACCTTTTTCACAGCATGACTTTGATTGATACACAACTTAGCACGCTGAGAAAACATGCTTATTTTCTACACTGAGCGAAATAGTTTGGCAAATTATCTGAAATTATTGTTATAGTCCATGCGCAAATGTTGCAATGTGATTTAATTACATTGAAGTAGTTAATAGCAATGGTGAAATTTCGGCACCAAAATATAATTCATTATATAATAATTAATTATTTGTTATAAAAGTAAAAGACGTTTATTATTTTATAATTTATCTATAAAATTTATTCAATATTTGGTTTATTTATTGTTAAAAATGTAATAAAAGCCCCATATTTAAATTAAATTACCTTTTCCTTAAGTAAAAATAAGGTAAATAAAATTAAGGGTGCCAAAAAAAAATTAGGTAACAATTAAAAAGACATTAAGTTTGAGAGGTTTAACTAAATATTTGCAATGTGCATATATTTTCAAAGCTTTTAGTTTTAAAAAATACTTACATATTTTTAGAATTTCTAGATTTATATTATATTAAAAGGACTTTCAAGTTTATCACTCATTTCTGTAGAAACAAATGTTTTCTCGCCAAGTTAAACGAGATGTCATTTAAGGTTTATGTATTTAGAGTTAAATACCTGGCCTGGCTATCACCCAGACAATACAAATATGTCCATTGGACGTCCATTCGATATACAATTTTGGATGTTTAGACGTCCAAAAATTAGTTTTCTGGAATTCCGACATCCAATGGACGTCCAGTGAAGTATACAAATGGCACACTTTTGACCATTCTGAGGACGTCCAATTCTGGAATATATTTGGACGTCGAATACTGGACATTCAAAAAACGTCCAGGATTATATTTCCATTTTTTTTACAGAACCGCAACTCATCAAAAACTATTTTATATTATTAATAATTTGTTTATTATTTTCGCAAACCGCTATACACCATTTATTTATTTTTTAATAAAAATTGCTTGACCTGAGCAGGCATCGAACTCACGACACATCCATTTTCATTTTACGCTTTCAATCGCTAGACGA